CGGCGGCCGCCTCGGTGCGCCGGAGCCCCGGGCCCGCGCTGGCGCGCCTCGAGGGCCGCGAGTTCGAGTTCCTCATGCGGCAGCCGAGCGTCACCATCGGCCGCAACTCGTCGCAGGGCTCGGTGGACCTGAGCATGGGTCTGTCGAGCTTCATCTCGCGGCGCCACCTGCAGCTCAGCTTCCAGGAGCCGCACTTCTACCTGCGCTGCCTCGGCAAGAACGGCGTCTTCGTCGACGGGGCCTTCCAGCGGCGCGGCGCGCCCCCCCTGCAGCTGCCCAAACAGTGAGTGCGCCGCCCGCGTCCCCGGCCCGGACCCCGGGTCACCTCTACCCGCCTGCCCCCGACCCTCGCCTGGAGCCCGGGTCACCTCCACCATCCCCCCGCCCCGACCCCCGGGGACGCCCCGACCCCCGGGTCACCTCCATCCCCCCCAGCCCCAATCCCTGGGCTCACCCACGACCCCTCCCCGCCCGACACCGGGGACGCCCCCGATCCCAGGGGCCCCGAGGACTCCCCTGATTCGCCGCCTAGCCTGGGACCCGAGGGTCGCCCTTGTCTCTCCCCCACTTTGGCCCGGGGTCGCCTTTGCCCCCCTATTCGGCCTGGCTTGGAGCCCCGAGAGCCGCCTCTGCCCCCGCCTGGCCTGGACCCTGAGGGTCGCCCTTGTACTCGCACGTATTCCCGAGAAGGGTTGCATCAGGCGGTGTCGCTCAGGGGGGTGCGGGGTTCCCGGGGGCAGAGCCAGTCCGTCCCCCCACCGCCCTCCTGGCCCGAGCCCCGGGCACTTCGGGCCAGATCTGAACAGGCAGCGATATGGGCAGGGAGGGGACATTCCCATCCTGGGGGCAGTGGGACAGGACAGGAAATGCCCTCTTCTCGGTGTGTCTGAAGACGCAGGTCAGGAGCCTGCCTGCTCCTGGGATGGGGCAGTAGTACCCAGCACTCGGGGGCGTTCCGAGCCCAGTTAGGGTACCTGGATGGGGCGGTGGCACCCAGCACTGGGGGCACTCAGAGCTCAGAGTTCTTGGGCAGGAAGGGGACGCATCAGGGCGTGGAGGCCAGGGCCTGGAAAAGGCGGACCCAGGTCGCAGGGCCCCATGATGCCCCGATGTGCTTTGGCAACATCTCGGTATTCCTTCTGGTCTTCGCTCGCTTTCCCCTCTCTTCCGGTGTCCACGTACACTTCTCTCCCTCATCTGCTCTGCCCCCGGAGATCCTTGCTTTCTCAAGATCTGTAGATCCGCAGAAGGCCTATTTAATTACTCATTTCCTCTTTAGACACTTTCTTTTTCTACGTAGTAATTGCTTTAACTCCTCGCTAGTGTTCATCTTTCTCCAGTGTGCCTCGTGGTCCAGAGTTGTCTCTAATTATTCCCTCTTTTATAAGCGCCCTGAGTCCAGGGAATTTTTGCTGGGGTAATTCCCAGGGCCCAAAGCTTGTTTCTGTAAACTTCTTCCCTTTGTAGGGCCTTGGCATGTTGGTTGTAAATACTGTATTGAATAGTTTTCAAATGCAACATCAACAATGACTCACGCCTGCTTAGGGCGTGAAAGGGAGAGTATATCTTGACTTCCCAAACATGAAAGGTATGTATTTCGGTAAAATCAGGACCTGGTGAATAACAAAGTTGTTCTAACTCTTGGTTGTTATTACTCTGTGGTATCTTTTCCGTAGCCTACCCACTCTCTCCATTCTGGCCCATTAAATGCATTTCAGGGCCAGTCGCTCTTCTTGTGAGAAAGTGATAGGTAAACAGCTCCTTCCCCTCCCTGCCCTGTGGCTCTTAAAGGTCTGCGCTTGCTCTGTGCCGTTGTATGTAGTGCAGATTCTGTAAGTGCTTTCTTGAAGCAGTCTTGTTCTCAGAGTTCCTGAGAATAGGTGCTCTCCTGACCAGGAGCTGGCTTTCTGCATCTTGAATGCACTAGGATTTTCTCTAACTCAGGGGAAGAAATCTCAGCCCTCAGAGTCATCAGATCATCTGCTAAATAGGCGAGTACCAAACATATTGTTTATAAAATGGCATTGGTGTTCACGATGCCTGTAGGTCGGCGCCCAAGGAGCTTGCCTTGTGAGTGGGTGCATCTCGGAGCTTGGGCTTGTAGCTGGCAGCCTAACCTTTGACCGCCCTCTGGCCTGGTGCTCTGCCCACCCTGTGCCTGTCTGACCCACTGGCTTCAGCTGTGCTTCTGAGCGTATCCACGTAGGAGGTGCTGTGAAGTTTACAAGAGCAGAACAGACATGCAGAAGGAGAAACGCTGAGTGGATGTCTGTGTCTGCTCTCCTAGGGCAAGGCTGTTTGCTTCTGAAAACTGACAGAGCCTGTTGACAAATATGTTGAGCAGTTTTATGTTGTTTTTTATTTTGGAAAACTTAGAAACCTAAGTCATCACATATATGCAATGGGCTGTTGTAAACTTCTGTTTAGAGTTAGGTCCAGGTTCTTTGGCCTATCACGTTGCAAGTAATCAAGAAATTTTAATGAATTCAGAGCAAGGAAATTGAATGTGTACATTTTTTCCAAAACAAGAAATTCATGACTTTCAAAGAATGGCAGTAATTATCATCTATTTCCTCTCCAGCTTTGGTATGAGGTTTTGCCATTAATACTTGAAATTATGAATTACTTTACAGTAAATTTGAAATTCTTCTTGTATTGGAATGTTGTTGACTCGACCATGCTTGGATTTAGTGGACGGCAGTTATGTGAGACTCGGAGCTTTTTCTTTGCATGATGGTGGCGTGCACCACCCCTCCCTACACAGGACTTCCACCTCGAGTGGCATTCGCATGTGCCTCACAGTCCCTCACAGCTCCACTGTGTCATTCCTCCTTTTTCTGTCCCACTCCGGAAGGCACATGGTTAAGAGGAATATCAGAATTTACCCCCATTTGTTCACACCGGTATGGTTTCCCAAAACTGCAACGTGTTTAAAGCATTGGTAGAAAAACAATTCCTTGGGACCTTGGTTAGAGCCGATCTTGATATACTACCACGTGCTCACACTGTGCTCGCAAGTCCAGCGATGGCTCCCTCCCGAACGGAGGGAAGCGCACACGGTTGTGATTCCCCCTGCGTTCCCCCCATAGACTGCACGGCGTAGGAACTGGCTGGCATTAGGTGCACACACTGAGTTGTGTTCGTTGAGGGATCAAATCAGTGACTAAATGAATTTGCAGCACGCATGGGGCAAAAGCTGTGTCATTGACTTGGCCTGGTTTCCCGAGGTAGACGGTCAGCGTGCGTGGGGTGGTGTGGACAGCCTTCCCGGGTTGTGTGGGCGGGTGTGGTTTGTGTGTGTGACTGTAGTTCTTCATACCATCCAATTTGGAATTTGAATTAGATGTTGTTTGTGAACTAAAAAGACCCATACACAGCCCCTTACCTGCTCTTCCCTCTTTTCTCGACCTTTCTAACACTTTTATAATAAATACGGACTACTTGAATAATTGTGGTAAAAACGAGACTTCTGTTTGTTGTAGCCTCTGTTGTAGCCTCTGTGAGTGGTAAGATTTATGGGATTCTTTTTACTTTTCTTTGTTTTCCAAATTTTCTGCGATAAGCATGACTCCTTTTTTTTTTAACACTTTTTATTACAGAAAGTTTCAAGAACTTCCACGTCCCCTTGCCCCAGCCTCAAAATTATCGTCTTGTGCCAAGCTCGCTTTATCTCCGTGCTTGCTCATCTTCCCCTTGCCCCCAGTTATTTGGAAGCGAATCACAAATGTCATATTCTGTCTGTAAATACTTCAATAAAAGATAAAGATTCTTTTTTAAAAAACCTAACCACAATGTCATTATCACACCTTAAAAATTAATAATAATTTTTTCTCATCATCAAACACCCCATCACTGCTCAGATTTCCCTTACTGTCTCATGAATTTTTTCTTTTCTTACATTGTGTTTATTTGAATCAGGAACCAAATGAGGTCCAGAATTGTGATTGGTTGCTGTATCTCTCACATCTCTTATAATCTCATTTTAATAGGGTCGTTTCACTCTCTTTTTTTTCTCGCCAAAGAACCGGGTCATTTGTCCTGGGCAGTTTGCCACGGTCTGCTTTTACAGATTGGGTTCTTGTGGTGTCCATTTAGTGTGTCCTCTCCCCTGTCATTCCTGTACATTGGTTTTTGGACCTAGAGATCTGATCAGACTCAGGTTTGATGTTTTTTGCCGACTGCCTCCGAGGCAGTGGTGCATGTGTCTGTCAGGAAGCATAGACGTTGTCTGTCTCCCTTAGCCGCTTTTCGGTCATTGCCTAGCTCCGTGAATTTATCATCACCTGTACCATTGCCCTTCATTTTGGTTGCCAGCGTGCGTACTTCGCCCTGCTGACGCACTCTCTCTCTGAAAGAAATACTGTGAATGGCATGTGTTACGGATCACAGCTTCTGCACATGTACTGTGATACAACGTAATTAATTGTAACCACCAAAGCATCTTACTACATAAATAGTTGTTTTAGGCCCTGTGAAAAAATACAGAACATAGTTTCTTATTGCTATTCCGACTGGTCACTTGAAGAATATCGAATTGGTTACTAACCATCATACCAGTAGTTATCAGATTGAAATTATTTTGAAATTAGTTGGAAAATGCCCTAGGCTTAGTGAAGACAGCAGGTATTTGGTGAATGCCTTGCTCCCAGGCATTCCTGGAAAACAGTGACTGGTTCCTTTTCTCCCTCACCCTGTCACCACGCCTCCCCAGTCCCGTGGGAGCTGCAGGGTCCTTATGTGACCCGATGCCTTGGTTGTGGGTGGTTGGTCCAGGAGTGGGCGTGTGTGCTGAGCTCTGTTTGCACTGGGGACAAGAGAGGGTGTCAGATCAGTCTGTTTTTAGTGGCCCAAACTGGAATATGTGAAAACTGAGGTTGTGCTGGCTCTGTCCCACTTGGAGAGAGGAGCTGTGATTAGAGAGGAGGGCGGTCTGTTGGGATGTGTGCGGATGTGTGCAGAGCTGAAGGGCCCTGGAAACCACGTAGGAAAGGGTCACTCAGGCCTGACTCCTTCAGACGTAGATGAGGCGGCCCTGGGACTAGAGAGGAAGAGATGGAGCTGACAGATCTTCTAAAGGAAGGAATGTTCCGATTTGGTGATTGTTTGGTTAGAGGAGATGGTTTGAATGTGAAGCTGGAGGAATGGTAACTGCTATGGAATGAAGCTGAGAGATGGGAAGGAGGGAGCATTTAGTGGAAGGAAATGAAGCTTTAGATTCAGTCGTGCTGTATGTGGAGAGTACGGTCAAAATACAGAATGTGGTATCTTCTCTAAATAAATGCT